CCGCAGTTTGTGATGCTATTGAATACAATCCAAGTAGGTCTTCATGAATACGAAAATCAGCATCAACAGATCTAATCGTAAAACATAATTGCTCAGATTGAGACGCATCACTAGTTTCATCACATATCATACTGAAGAATTTCCGTTCGGAAATCTAAATAAACATAAAACAGATAGAATACTAATATTTGCAGAGAAGTCAATTCATATGATAATCAAATGTTAAGGTCGCGATGCTTTCAAGAATCATTGAAAATACAATTTTTTCTTTAGTTACTAGTTTTCTTCTCGATATGTAATCTAAAGCGCAGTTCGAAGGCAGANCTATTTATCACATGATATAATGAACGAAATATGTCAAATTATTTCATTATCAATTGTTCGTGAACTTGTTAAAGAAGTAAATAAGCGTTTTCTTGAACATTTAAGCAGCCATTATTTATTTCCTTTGAGAGCTATATTTTGTTTATATTTGATGAGATAAATAGTTTCCTTCTTTGATCCACGAAGAAAGACCATCAACGTCAGCTTCACGCAATTTCAATAGCTGCAACAAATTTCCTTCTTCTTCTATATGTCCTCGAAGAGCTAAACCTTGTCTGAGCAAATATCTAATGCATTCAACTTCGATAAAAAGCATACGTCGTCGCTGTGATTGTTGAGCCTGATGTGTAAGACTTAGTTGAGCAGCAACCGTGGGTTTTTGTTGTTGATTCACCAAATATACACAATCATGATGCACTTTACCAGATTCATGTTTAGAAAAACGAGATATAGCATTCTTCCAATCAGTAAAACCCGTACATGTCAGTGTCGTTTCTCCAATTTTATTTGATTCAGGATGGAAACCACTCAGAAAAGCGTTGCGACAATAATAACAATATACATTTTTTCCGTTCTAAGAGAACATCAAATGAAATATAGGCAACTATTGATAGAGAAAAGAACATATTCCTAATACGTACGTTCCAGTTCATTTTTACCTGACAAAAAGAAAGCCACTTATACTTTACAAACCATCCCAGTTGACAACTTCGCTTATCGTCTGATGCTTTAAGATTCACTTGGGTTTCAGGAACAAAAGGCTTATCGGATGTACAACAAACAAATTCACACTTCAACTTTCGCATTGACGAAGGCGACGTGATTGTTATTGACGAGAGCAGACCTGCTGTTGATAAAGGTGATGCTATTGGACTTGCTGTTGTTGATGAAGGTGATGTTGGCGAAAACGTAGTGATTCCATCTTCAACTTGATTCAAGTTACCAGACGTTGTATTAACAGCAGCTGAATTACGATCGACATTATCGCTTGTCTTCTGCTTCTTATTTTTAAAGAAGAACGTAATCTGAATCTGTTTATCCGACATTGACGATAATATCGCTAGTTTCTCGAGTATTTGTCACGCTGTTTATTCAATAGAAAATCTGCATATATATACAGGTGAAGCTATGACGAAAACACCCAAGGAACCAAGGAAAAAGCCGAAAGTAGATAATGAGACGAAACCTAGATGTAAGTGTGGTGAATTCAAAGAAAATGGAATATACCCTGATGACAAAGAGCAGAAAAATAAAGGATAAATACATGTGACTTCGATGACGTCATCAAAAAGAAAAGAAAGAAATAACACTTTGCTTCTTAACATTGTCGAACAAAGGAATTATCTGTTGTAAGGAATTGCAGTTCAATATCTATTTGAATTAGAAGCGAAAAATAGCAGTTGAACTGTCTGAAATGAAGGACAAACAATTTATATTAATATGTATGTTACAAAGATCCAATCAGTTGCTCAACTGGTACGAATCGATACTAAATAATATAAATTGATTCCGTAAAAATACTTCATATATGCGAAGAACACAAAAAATCTACAGTAACACCAAAATTTTCGTTAAAAGCAATCAATCCAGTTTTTTTTATCTAGCTTGGTTCGAGCCTACCCAGGCCTTATGCTATTCGGTTTTGAGCCTACCCAGGCCTAATGGCTCCGCCGCCTATGTTTATGACGCTATAACCCTTTCTTTCAGAAAAGGGAACTATACTTGTCTTAAAAGATGGCGCTCTCGTGTGTCATATATATATATATTGTTAGGGCAACGTGATGTCGCCCTGCACATTCATCTATATTCTTTCTCGTCTCGCTTCTCGATATATATACAGAAGATAAGAATGTTTCATTTTGTTTTTT